GTCTCACCATCACCACCCCTGTCTCACCATGGCATGGGGCTTGGTGAAGGGGTGAGGGCTGTTTCAGTCCCAATCTGCCCCTTGGTTGGTGCCCTTGCGCAGCGCACAGCCCTGCTAGACAGTCCTGTCCTGGCCCCGACCCACCCTTCCCAAGACAGGGCTCCTGTCTGATCCCGTGAGCCCCTCCCCAGGTGTCCGTCACATCAAGCGCTGCGACATCGTACTCAAGTGGGAGCTGGGCGAGGGCGCCTTTGGGAAGGTCTTCCTTGCGGAGTGCCACAGCCTGCTGCCGGAGCAGGACAAGATGCTGGTGGCCGTGAAGGTAAGGCCTGGGCCACTGTCCCAGGACGGGGGGCTCAGGCTGGGGGTGGGCTCTTCCCTGCTCAGTCCGGTCCCTGCCCCCACCCTCAGGTGCTGAAGGAGGTGTCCGAGAGCGCACGGCAGGACTTCCAGCGCGAGGCCGAGCTGCTCACCATGCTGCGGCACCAGCACATCGTGCGCTTCTTTGGCGTCTGCACCGAGGGCCGCCCGCTGCTCATGGTCTTCGAGTACATGCGGCACGGGGACCTCAACCGCTTCCTCCGGTACGAGCCCCCGGCCCGGCGCTGGCCCCTGGCCCCTGGCTCTGGGCTCTGGTGTCCCTTCCCTGCAAGGACAGTCTTGCTTGCCTGTTGACCTGAGGGGGGACACTAAGTAGAAGTAGGAAGACATGACTCCTGGCCTTAAGGAGGCAGATGTGTGAATATGGGGGCGGTCCGTGCAAAGGAGAGGGTAGCCAGGGAGGCGGCCCTGGCGGAAGTCATGCGCTAAAACTTCGGTGGGCGGTGAGCTTTGCAGAGAGTGTGCATTTGTGTGTGGCCCACAGCGGCCACACCTGTAAGAGGTGGCAGCTGAGATAACTGCTACGACAGCAGCAACACTCACCAGGCACCATGTCCTGTACTTTACAATCCATTCCCAATAAGGCTATATGTGCTTGTACATGTATATCTGTGTAATAATATAAACATATATTTATTTTTCATAGTCTCCAAGCATATATGGCCATTTATACTTGAAGAAAGTTATCAAAAATTCATTTCTTTGGCTTTGGCCAGAACAACTCTGGATACGGGTACTAATTTGTGCTGATCATTTGAATAACTTCAAGAATTGTGCCCATCTCACAGATGAGGCTTAGAGAGGTTCAAGGGCACCTAGGTAGAAAATGGCCCAGGAGAGAGATGACCCCAGGCAGAGCCCTGCTTTTAACCCCTGACTGTGATGGTCACCTGATCTGATGAAATAAATGGTCACCTGTTCCGATGAGATGAGCCCCTGTGGGAGCGGGCAGTGGGAGGCAGGGAGGGGCCAGGGTTTGGAATCAGCTGTGACTCAGTAGCTGAGCCTTCGTTGTCAAGTAGCTTTCTTCTCTGACCAGGCTCCCCACCCCGGGGACTGTCATTCTGGAGGAGAAAGCTCAGTGCGATTGTTAGGTGACGGTCGTGCTTTGGTCCCCACACAATCCCTTGGGAGGGAGTGATGGGTCATCCATGCAATCGGGCGGCAGACGTCAGCTGGGAGAGACCCGGAGTCTGAGCTTCCCTTGTGGGTGGGGAGGAGCCACTGAGGGTGTGGAGCCAGAGGGAGGCATCGCCAGACCTGAGGTTGAGTGTGGAGAGGGACTAGCTCAGAGGAAGAGGCGAGAGGAGCCCTGGCCCCCGCTCACAAGACACGGTGTGGGCTCAGCGCTAGGTTCCAGGGATGCAGGCCACCGTCTGGGGCCCAGGCTGTGGGAGAAGCAGCCCTCAAAAGTTGGGTGGAGCACAGGGGGGACCAAAGGAAGGCATCAGGGAAGACTTCCCCTAGGAGGGGCCATTTGTTCCTTCTTGCCTCTGGGCCTTTGTACTTACACTTGCCTCTGCCTGGCACACTGGACTGCCCTCCCAGCCACTCCATCCCTGACCCCTTCTCATGGCTTACCCACCTCTGCTCCTCAGGGCTGGAGTCTCAGTTTAGATGACTCTACCTCCAGGAAGCCTTCCTTGACTTCCTCCATTCCTACCCTGCGTGCTGATCAGGTGCCCCTCACATTCCATCCTACTCTCCATTGTAGCTCAGGTGCATTTAACAAATATCTGGAATAAATGAAGAAATTAATGGAAAAGGAGAAAGCTGGCCAGTAGGAAAGGGTAGTACTGTCAAAGCCATCAGCTCAGGCAAAGGTTCAGAAGAAGGAAATTATGGGAATAGAATGAGTGGCCAGGGACTGCCCTGGAGGGGTGCCCGTGGGGAGGAGGAGGGCATCCTGGAAACCGTTGGAAGGAAGAAGACCCCACAGGCATGGCTGGATATTGAGGGCAAAGGTGAGAGGGACAGGAATCCTGGAGGGCTCCCAGGCGCAGAGCTGGGCGGAGATGTCAGCACCAGTGGGCACACCTGCGCTCCCCTGTCCCTCAGACAGCTGCCTCTCCCCTTCTCCCTCCTTTCCCAGCCCCGAGTCCCCTCCCCACTCCAGCCCAGCTCCCCAGACCCCCCTCCCGCGGACTTTGGTTCCCGGGGGATTCTCTCCCCGCAGCCTACGGCTCCCTCACTCTTTTGCAGGTCCCACGGGCCTGATGCCAAGCTGCTGGCTGGCGGGGAGGACGTGGCTCCGGGGCCCCTGGGCCTGGGGCAGCTGCTGGCTGTGGCCAGCCAGGTCGCTGCGGGGATGGTGTACCTGGCGGGGCTGCACTTCGTGCACCGGGACCTGGCCACGCGCAACTGTTTGGTGGGTCAGGGTCTGGTGGTTAAGATCGGCGATTTCGGCATGAGCCGGGACATCTACAGCACCGACTACTATCGCGTAAGGCTCTTCCGTCCCAGGCCCGCCCCGGCACCC